ATTTCCTTCTGAAGAGTCTTTTAAAAGCCACCCTATGAAAAATCTTCCCATGCAGTGTGTGATGACTGGTTATTTCAATGGCTTGGGGCATCTAAAGGCAGACAGCACCAGAACAAGATGCAGTTCTAAGGCTGTAACAGCCAGTAAAGGAGATGTGCCTTCTTCTAGGGACTGTGTTCAGTTTCTGCAGCCGTGGTGTGGCAACCTGCTTAGCCATCCTATAGAAAACTAACCCTTTCTCAATGATGGCTGTCCTCAACAAAGTTAAAAAGTGACACGGATGCCAGTACAGGACCAGGTCCTGCAAAATGTCTTTCGATACTGGAGTCCTGCCAAGAGTCATTCATCCTATTTACACACAAGTTGCACCAGGACTCAAAGTCAGGATGTAAAAGCTTATTTTTGTAACATAGCTTTCAACTTAAAGTGCTGGCTGGAGAGCATCAGAGGGTCCTGGATGCCATCCTTCATACTTCACCACCTGCATGCCTACAGATACAGCTGCATGAAGCTGGGACGTGGGAGAGAACTCCTGCTCTGGTATCTTAGCCCATGGTTTGCAATGCATAATTCTTTTCCCACCTCCGCCAATTGCAAACTGCAGCCTCAAATTCAAAAGGGCCCACCCAAGCCCTGCGCACGCTCCGCGATGGCAAGAGCACACAGCAAAGGAACTGACCTGCACAGGGCAGGCAGAGGCACTCTGCTCCCTACCCGGCAGGAGACGTTGAGAGCGCGAGGTGAGACAGGCGCCTGTGCTGGTGTGTGCTGTGCGCTGGCTGCTGGACACCTCCATGCAGGGTACAACCCCACTGGCAACTGCCCCAAGCTTGGGCTTGAGCCAAACCCCTTCTAGCTCAGTTAAAACCCCCTTGCTTTTAATTTGAGGAGGCTCAGCATCAGGTCCCATTTGTACAGGGGAGCTACTAACATGCGCTCCTGTCTTCTAGAGGGGCATAAAGGCAAGCGATAGACCCCTGCAAGGCAAAAATCTGCTTTCCTAAATAGCATCAAGAGTAGAAACCTCAGCAGCTGACTCCTGGCAAACAGGTTATAAAACTTGTATAAAGTCTTCCAGAAGTCACTTTCTGGATATGAACCCAAGGCATGCCCATTACAGGCTCTGGTCAGAGTAATCTGCTCACTGACCACAGAGGATCCTGCCCCTGCCAGGAGAGCATTTTGCCTCAGTCGCTCCATGAGAGAGCCCTCACTCCTAAAGTGCACAGGCTGCTTTATTGGGCACTTAAATAAAACCTCCTGATGCCAAAGAGCTGGATTCCCTAAACCAAATTTCTCTGCAGAACACTTCAGCACGTGCCCAGCTTCCAACAGATGGACCTCTACAAGACAAGGGATGTGCTTCAAGTTAGGCAAGGGCTCTGGTGCTTTCTGGACTCGCAGCTTAGGAGCCAGCCCAAACCAGTTTTTGGTTCTATGACCAAGGTAACCGTGTACCTGTACGCTGATGGCATCATTTCTTGACAGGAATTACTACAACCGGTCTCCCTCAGAGATGTGGTGGTTTGCTACCCTGGGGACTGCTTTACTGAAATGACCCCACCAGCTGCATATAGATCTCACTGCACAAGTGCCGAGGTCTCCGTTTTTTCATTCCTAATGGCAGAGTTACACACCTCTATGATTACTAAAATTTGCGTAATGTTACAGGCCTCTCTATCCACCAAACATTTCTACAGTTAACTCCTTCCAGAGCCAAACGCCCATCTCTACATGCATGAAGTGAACAGAGCACTTGTGGCTGCCCCATCCGTGGCAGTGTTCAAGGCCAGGTTGGACACAGGCGTTTGGAGCAAGCTGCTCTAGAGGAAGGTGTCCCTGCCCACGGTAAGAAGCTGGAACTGGATGAGCTTTAGGGCCCACCCCTGCTGCAATGCCTATCGGTAGACAATACTGACCAGAATTAAGGTAAGGCTCAGTTCTAAGGGAAATCTGTGTTTCTGTTATGGAAAAGGAGCAAGTATCATTCCAAGCTAGCAGGCAGGTGTATGCACCTGCAACCCCTTTCTATCATTACAGCATGAGATATCCAGCAACAGGGGTTACTCCTCTGGGAATCCAAGCTCCTTGCTTTCCATGCCAGGCATGCCAATGGAAATGCTCTGATCTGCAATCAGCTCCAACTGTCCTTCCTCATAGGTTCAGGCATACAACATTATGTTTTGCCTCAACTCGCAATAAAAAGGTTATGTTAAGCTGTTGCTGTGAAGTTATCATGTTGACTTTTAGCACCATTCAAATCCTACCTGGCAGACAAAGATCATATTGACAAGATTTCTGCCAGGTTGTTTTGGTGTGGAAGGTTTAAAACTTGTTCTACAAGGCTATTACAAAAAGTAAAATAAAAAACTACCTACAACACACCATGATAAAGTCATTTTAACTATATAAATTTATTACAAAATTGGTTGCTTTAAACAAACTGTGCTTTTCTAGATGCTTTCCTGAAATCAGATGCTTCTGCCCAAACTTGGATAACTTGGCCTAGGCTGTTTCAGGGTGGTGAAGAATAGATTTTCAGCCAAATTATATCCCCTGGTGCACAATGACATAAGCTGCCATTTCCTCCCTCATTGCTTTCCCAAGAAAAAGAAAACTTTTCCAGAAGACATGGATTTGCCCACACCTGAGACTGGTTCTGGAGATTCAGCCGAACAAGTCAGAGCAGTTTGGGTAGAAGTATATACATATAAGAAATATGCTTCAGATTTGAGGCTACCAAGTGCTAACAGGATACCCATGTAAATTCCCTTAAAGGTGCCAAGCTGTATTAATAGTTCTTCATTTACCTCTTCAGGTAAGAAAACAAAAAGCTCATTCATCTTTAAAAACCAAAGTGCAACAGCCCTTTCCAGGGCTTAACGCTGCAAACACGTACACTGACCCTACGAAGCAGTCACTGGGGTTTTGCCACTGGTTTCAACAACTTTCACTCAAGTCAGTGAAATACTGAGAACTCTCTTCCTTTAAGCACTGTTGTTGCTTCACCCATTTGGCATATTCAAACTCTGCACCTCCTTAATTCTGAAGTGAATGAAGTCTTCCAAATATTCAAACTTTCACCACTTTCCTTAAAAGCATGGCTTTAAACTGGTCTCGCTCAAGTTGGACAAACCTCATAGAGACATTCTTACCTGGATTTAAGTCTATTTAGACTAACTTACAGTGGCTGCTGATCAAGTGGAACTTCATGAATATAAGGAGGATTTAAATCCAGCTAAGCATGGTCCACTGAGATTGACTGATCTATTTAAACAAGTTTAAAGCCTCAGTGGCCTAACTTTGAAATGGATAAACCTTTCACTACTGCATCTCTGTGAGCTTTATTTGAAAGGATTAAGGCTCCCCCCCAAAAAGCTGATATAAGAAACACTGGCCAATCAGCAGAAAGTCGTGGTTTTCTAAAAAGTTATTCAACAATATTCAATCTGCATTTTATCTCACAAATACTGTTACTTGGAAAAGGCATAGAAAAACTCCTGTTCTGACAGCAGGCTGTTAAAGGTTACCCTCAGGTTGCCCCATCTGCATTGAACTTGTTTTTCTGAAACTAGATTGCTGTTTTACCTGATGTGTTTTGTCATGAAAAACCCAGTCGTGCATCTCTGAATGTTAAGAATGAGCATCTGTTTTCTCAGGCACTAACATCACAAATCTAAAGCATGGCATTCAGTTGATTTCAATGACACAGCTGAGGGCAGAAAGCAGAAAACAAAGCAGCCAGGCAGCACCACAGGAAAAAAAACCCAAATGATACTAGTGGCAGGTCCTCCCATGCACACGTTTCAGGTTGGTGCTCCTATCACAGAAACAATCTACCAGAAAGTGGTACATCAAAAAACAAAAAAGGAAAAAAAAAAAAAAAAAAGACAAAAATTAGAAAAAAAGGAAGTAGAAAATTCACCTTGGGTAGGGACATAAGCAGCTTTTACAGCATGCTTAAGTCCTCATCATATTGCATCCCACCATTCTGCCTTTGAACTGCTGTCAAAGGGAGGCCATCCACACCTCGAGCAGAGCTGAAACCAGCAAAGGCTCACATCTAGAAATCAGGTCAAAGTCAGTGCTGCGGTGTGCTGCTCCGCACTGAGGAAGAGGCCCTTCCATCTGCCTTCGAAGGAATCATCAAGAATTGTCCGAAACAGCTGGGCATGGAAACGGGAAGAGTCAACCGGCCCAAGGCGGAGCGCAGCCTCAGACGCGAAAGTGCCCCTCGCTCTCAGAGTAACAGCAGCGCACAGGATCCCAGTCACGTCCAAAGAACACAACCCAGCGCGGCTTCCCCCGGCCCCAATCCCCGCTCCTCTGCAGCCCGGCTGTGCCTCACCTCCCCTCCGCCAGCCCCGGCACAGCCCCTCCTGCCCCACGGCTCCGAGCAGGGCAGAGGGGAGCAGCCTCCCCCCGGGCTGCCGCGCCGCAGCGGTGACCCCATCACTGGGCAGCAACGGGCACTGCAGAGCCGCTGGCAGGGAACGGAAGGCAGGTGCCGGCTGCCCTGTGCACAGCCTGCAGGGACCGGGATCCGATGTCGGGAGGAGAGAACCCCTCAGACCCCGTCCTCTCTGGAGCAAAGCTTTTGACCTGCACCACGTTTGAATGTAGCTGTCTACGAGAGTTTTGGAGATGTCACACAGGAAGGATACTAAAAATTGCTCAAGTGTTTTTGCTTTGTGGACGCTTCCACAGGCTTTGATTATGCTAAAAACTTGATAGGCGCTGTCTTTTGGAGGAAAAAAAACAAGAATGCACACATTCACCTGGTCTATCCTCTTCCAAACCAGGTCTGAGATTTGGCTGTAAATCGTAAGCACGCCTCACTAGAACTGTCACTATAGGAAGTACTTATCAATTCATATATGGCACAATAACAACAATTCAATGTACCTTTTGCTTCTGCTTAGAAACAACTTGCAGTACATTCTTGCACAACACACAAGTGTCAAAACCAGGTATTTCAGGTTTTACACACAATGCAAAGCTATGATACACTACAGTATTTAATGCACACCGATAGGAAAAGTTCCTAAAAAATACTCATGCAGTTTTTGTGCCATGGGATAGGTAATGGCTATTTCGTAGAAATAGATCCAACTGGCTCCATTGGAGCAGCAGTATAAATATTAAAAATAGAAGTAACAATAGGCCCTGATGTGAAACTTCTCTCTTTTTTGTTTTTCTTCCCCAAGGAAACACTCTGCTTAGGAGCAACTGCATCTTGCTACAGGGGTATAGCTGTGTGGGGAGGGGTGTGGCCTTTAGGGATGTGCCACATCGTTGCTAACATTGTTTGATTTAAGGATGTATTTTAGGCATTTTAGTGGTTATTATTAATCTCATTGACAACAACAAAAAAATTCAACAGCAACAATAAAAAACAACAGGAAAAGTACAGGGGGCTTCCTAATGCAAGAGGATTTCAGCGGGCACAGTGACGACAAGGCTGCTCGAACCACAGGCTGCAGAGCTCAACAAGTAGGAACACAACTGTTTTCCAGAAAGAAAAATGGCGATGCAGGCATGTCCTTGACTCTCCACTGCCTGTCCCTGGGCCCGTACTGCTCCCTGCCAGAGATCATGAGCACACTTTGAGCACCGAGGCCGGCAGCACTCAGCTTTTCCCACCAGATTTCCTTGACACATGCAGTGCAACGGGGCTAGAACCTCCACAGGCTTAGTGTCACAAAGAACGAGCATTGGGTGCTGAGCTGAATGGAAACCACAGGGGGTAAATATTTCCATTTACAGCACTTTGCCCAAACAAAATCAAACTGTAAAAGTCACTTCCAAAAGTGCAAATGAAATAAAACTTGGCTTTCTGTCTGTGAATGGGGTTCTCTTTGCCTTTTTTTTTTCAGTTGGAGGTTTCTTCCCTGCTGTAGGTTAGGGTTTGGTGCAAGTTGTTGGTTAGGGTTTTTTTAGCTTCCTTTTTTTTTTTTTTTTACATAGGGTTTTCTGTACCTTTACTACCAATATTTGCCATTGTTTGTACCATAGACAAAAACATTCACCTAGCTGGTAGTATCTTAATACATTTCATAGTAGGACATATACAAGAAGAAAAAAACATACCAAATGAATCAGAAGTGATCAGTGCTTAAAGTAAATACAAGAGCCAGCACTGGCAAGAATCCACAGTATCAATACAAATGAAGATGTGATAGTGTTTCTCATGGGGTGGAATCTGCCTGCATATTAATACAGAATTATACAAAATCTAGCAGGGATATTGGAACAATGAATAGCTAAACTTTCACAATAACTTAAGATCTGTGAGCCAGTCTGCATTGAAGATATTCCACATTTTAAAAAGTGCCATGTCTCTCTGTGTCTTCCTCCCTCCCAAAGGAGGGGCGATGAATCCACTTGATTTGTTACCAGGTAAGTTCAACTGCTTAAGAAGACAAATATCTGACCAGGTCCAGTGTATTCTTTAAAGAACGGCAAATTATGACTTCAGTAACTATATCTGTGCAAAATATGCCTCTTTCCTTTTAAAGAAACCAGTGTCTGTAACTCAGAAAAGTTCCGACATTTACTTATCTCCTTCTCAGAACGAGTAAGACATGAACTATTGAATCCCCCCAGAACAAGAAATCTGATGGAGCAGAGAAAATTTTGACCTTCCATTTCCATGTGCAGACCATTAAAAACCAGGACATTTCATCAGTAGCCCTCCAGGGCTGGCAATTGAACTATTGCTTGGAAATACCATGAACACCCTAGTAATAAAACTCCAATGTTGGTAATAAAATGGTAGCAGTGTTTACCCTCTGAATCCATGTTTACTTTGCATTCCTCATCATACCTGTACAAGTTTCATTATTTATGGTCAAAAGTCATTGTCTGTTGCCTTGACAATCTTCTTTTAAAATGCGGTAAATCCATTCATATGCTGAGTACCTTGAATTGTATTCCCATATTACACTGCCCTGTGACCTTTGGATCATTACAGGAGGCCCAGCACACAGAAGGAGAAGATGCAAGAGAAGACCTTGATCTCTGGCAATTAAAAAACAAACCCAAAAGAACACCCTTCCCACCCCTCGAAACCCCAGAACACAGTTAAAAAAAAAGGAATAAGACAAAAAACAAATGAATAAAAAAAAAATAATCCCATGATTCTCCTTGAAAATCAGCCCCTGTAGAATGTACCTCTTCTGCATTACAGCAGTAGTCTTAAGTCATAAATTAGATTAGTCTTCCATCAAATAACTTAAAAAGAAGAAGTAATTGTAGCAGACCAGTTTTGCCTGGCTTGACGCCAGTTAGCAGCCAGTTCATCCCAGTCACACTGTTCAAAAACTGAGCTAGGAAATCACATGAATATTGAAAAAAATAATCTTCACATCGATGCAGGATTTGTCCAGGTTGTGGGGAGTCAGGGACAGGGCAGACCTAGATGGGGCCACAGGTCCTATGAACAGTGAGCAGGATATACGTCACGACTTGGAGGTGCACCGCGTTCAGGAGATGCCAGCCGTGGTTTGTATTGCACAGGTAAGAAGGAAGTTCCTCCCAACAGTCTGCCACCTACATTAGTGATCTCTGCACATGGGCAAGTTCACAAAAGTGAAAACATTGAATTCTGTCATGATGGAGAAACACAGGAAGATGCCATAAAGGGAAAGGCACACACACCCTAGCTTCTTATCCAGTTTCCATTTGTTCATGTGGACTCCAAAAACCTACAATAAACACAGAGTAAGCCACCACAGCAGGAACATTTTGAACAGAGGTAAATCCCCATCTCAATTACAGGAACACAAAGGTGACTGCACCCATACTGATCATGGTCACCTGGAGGCAATCACAATGCAAGTACTGCAGCAAGTGAGCTGAAGACCACAGGTGAAGTAAATCAGAGTAGCCCCCTCACAGTCATTGAAGCCCCACTGACTTAGATCGCTTTGAGCCCTGGCCCAAGGGCCTTAAGTTTCTGCAATGAATTTAATTTTGACAAGAACAATCCCATTTAATTCAGAAAAGTTTTCAAAGGCCAGATCCCCTTTTCTTCACTCAAAATGCTTTATATGCCCCTCTGCATCTCAATCTGGAGCCACAGAGTCTAAGGCTGTGCTCAGCTTTGCTTAGTTTGCTCTCACACAAACCTCCTGAAAAATTGAAGTCTTGTGTACGTGGGAACTGTGTTGGTGTGCAACGCCCAGGAGGACCCCAGGAAGACAAGAGAAGGCTGTGTGGAGACCTCATATCAGCTTCCAGTATCTGAAGGGGGGCTATAGGGATGCTGGGGAGAGACTCTTCATTAGGGACTACAGTGACAGGACAAGGGGCAAAGGGTTAAAACTTAAGCAGGGGAAGTTTAGATTGGATATAAGGAGGAAATTCTTTCCTGTTAGGGTGCTGAGGCACTGGAATGGGTTGCCCAGGGAGGTTGTGAATGCTCCATCCCTGGCAGTGTTCAAGGCCAGGTTGGACAGAGCCTTGGGTGACACGGTTTAGTGTGAGGTGTCCCTGCCCATGGCAGGGGGGTTGGAGCTGGATGATCTTAAGGTCCTTTCCAACCCTAACTATTCTGTGATTCTATGATTCTGTGACTCCCTGCAGCAGCTGGTCTCAAGATTTGGAAGATGTCACAGAAATTCTCTTCTCCTTATAATTTCTAATCTGCTGTGCTGGACATGGGCAGGTCAGGAAACATGAGGCACGGATTTCAAGAGAAACACTGTCATGCCTAGGCACTATTTGTTCTGGTTGATGTTGCAGTTCAGAAGGTTCTTACAGAAAGCCGAAGCAAACTGTACAGCATTCTGTCTACCTGTCCAACAGGAGAATGGGTCTTGCAATACATCAAGGGATCTGGTCCAACTTTAGCATGAGAAATAACTAATGGATCCTCCCATGAAAAATACACAAATATGAGAGGCATCCTGTGACAGAGATAGCTTCTGCAAAGTGCCAGATCAAAGTCTTGGGAAGTTTACAAGAGGAATGACCATTCCTACCCCTCAACAACAGTCCTTGCAACCACTATTACAGCTGGAAGTGAGAAAAGAACAGATGAAGAAAGTCTGTAAAAATCACTCTTTGGAAAAGAACAAAAGACTATATACATACTGTGACAAAAACAGATGCCAGCAGGAGACCGACAGAATAGATAAGTCCTCTGCTGTTTAACCGAATCTGTAAAAGAAGGAAGTTTATAAAACCATGTCACAATTAGAAGCAACAGTATTTCTCTCTGCTCATAATTCAGTAAAATCCTAAACTGCTGAGTTGCTGAACACTGGCTTGCAAGATCTAAGCACCAATTCAGACCCATTACATCACAGATTCTTTTGCATGCTCCCTATTGTCAAAGAAAGTATTGATAGAATAGCATCCTTAGGAGCTGACAGCATCTCAAACTGTTTCACCTCACACAGGCTTTGTCATTTCTTATACTGTTATATCATGGAATTTTCTTTTTGGCACTTAACTCCCATGTGAATCCTGAAAGAATAAACAAGGCAAAGGAATTTTTGCATTCAGTCATCAATTACTGCTTCAGCATGGGTGAAAATAAACAAGGACACACACAAACGTGTAATTTCTTCCCTACTCTTACTCATCTCAGTGAAGAAAACAAGTCAGTATTCTCATAGCCTGCACCTCAGCTGCTGCAGACCATCGCTATCAGTGCAGCATGGCACACTAGCACAGGCTGAATGTAATTCAGCATGGAGGCAAATAGGGCAAAAAGTAATTTTATTGACTGCAGGGCTGTGTAGAGATACCATCACTAAAGTACCAGACACACCACAGGCTCTGATGGAGTCATCTCCATGGCAGAGCCGCAACTGCAGCCACTGTGCCAGTGGAGAACCAAAATACACGTTCAAAGCTGTGGAGCTATTTAACTGCTACTTTTAGAGGCTTTACAGTCTAACCAAAGGCACTCACCTGCATCTTTAAACCCTAAATATATTTCAAAGCATTATTTTATGCAACATAAACCTAGAGCCACATAGGAAGACTACAGTGAGTAAAGCACCTCTCCAATCCTGTTCCTCAGCTAGGATTGTGCTTTTCTCCAGTTTTCCGTTCTTCTCTTGAGGAGCTCAATCACTGCCCCTTTGGGTATTTTTGTACTATCTTCTCAGGCAGTATCACCTGTGGTATCGTAGAGAGAGCGCTCAGATGGAATCTCTCAAGGCATTTATGCAGGGGCTACTGTGTGAGGGATACTTCCTCCTAGTGAAGGTCATCTTCTCCAGGAAAACATGAGGGCAGCTGGAAGCTGCAGGGTGGGTGCCATGAGTGACTGAACTGTAAATATTTAGACCACTTAATATCAATTATTATCTTAAGGCTACCATAAGGTAACACCGCTTACTGTATTCTTCCCTATACCTTCTGTACAATGAAACCCTACGTAAAGTTGAGTTTCAACTAACAGTCAGCAAAATCAATTGCTATTTAAAGTAAAATGACTACTCAACTTTCCTGGCAGAGATCAATCTTAGCAAGAAATTATGTACAAGTATTTTTCAAGGATGCTTTAGAAAAGGACATTGCTATTGTTTGTCCAGTAGACTTTGATTCCCTGTAGTGCAGGTATATTTTCAGTCACACTACTCTGCTGCTGAGGTCAAACAGCAAAACTAAGTACAGTGATCTTCCTTAGATGGGCTGGTATCCAGTTCTTAATTGCTCAGCTTGGTCTATGTTTGTCTACTAGGAAAAGCAAAAGCATCAGTCCATTCCTGCAAATGATCTGCAGACATGAAAATGGTTCCCATAATAAAAGCTCGTCCACCCCAAATAACATTTTTTTTTTTAATAGCTGGATTTATCTCTTGGTTTTTGAACTGTTTTAGTCAAATAAACAATTCAAAACTAAACCTCTGTGCTACCATATTATTTTCTCAACTGTTGTGGTTTAAACCCTGGCATCAAGTTAACCACGCAGTCCACTCCCCCCCACCCCCTGCCCCACTCCCACAGGGACGGGGAGGAGAATGGAAGGAATGTAACTCCCACGGGCTGAGATAAGAGCAGTCCAGTAACTAAGGTATAACACAAACCACTGCTGCTACCACCAATAACAATAATGATAAGGGAAATAACAAGGGAAGAGAACACGATACCACCCGCTGACCAAGCCCGACCGAGCAGTGAGTGCCCTTCCAGGTAACTCCCAGTTACACCCTGGGCATGACGTGCTGTGGTACGGAATACCTCTTTGGTCAGTTTGGGTCAGGTGTCCTGTCTCTGCTTCCTGCCAGCTTCCCCTCCTCCCTGGCAGAGCATGAGACTCACAAAGTCCTTGGTCAGGGTAAACATTTGAGCAGTAACTGAAAACACCGGTGTTATCAGCGCTGTTTCCAGGCCCAAATTCAAAACCACAGCACTGCACCAGCTACTAAGAAGGTGACAAAATGACTGCTACTGCTGAACCCAGGACATCAACTATCAACAGAGAATGTTATCACTGGCCACTTTTCAGTGCTGCATCCTTCTGTTTAGACTATAAAGAAGCCCATTTGCACAAGAAGTGGTTATTGCTCATTCGGTGACAAGCACTACATGACTGCAGGAGTGCTGAGGCACTTGTATCACAGAGTCAGGGAAAACATCTCACCCAAATGATCCCAAGTCCAGAGTAATGATGTAGCTTCACTCCCCAAGACCAACTGCGGGGAGAGCCTGACTTCCACAGTCAAGGAAAGGGCTATTGGTTTTGACATTTTGCAAACCTGACTGTGCAATGAACTCCATACACCCAGGATCCTCCATGCAAATTCATGTTGGGGACAAGGTCAAGCACGCTGCAAAAAGACAATCCTGGAAGGATTTCTCTTCTCTGCTGTACATGCTCAAGATTCAGCAAGTCGATGTATTCCTGTACTTCCAATAAACTGTAGCAAACATGAAGAGGTCTTGCACAGCTACTACACCCTGGAATTGTTATAGCATCTGTACTCACAATCCTCCCACCAATATGTTGCCCCCTGAGATTTGCTGATTTTCCTTCTTTACTAATTTTTGCCATCATAAAAAAGGCTCCAGCCATCATGATCATTCATTCTTAAAGGTATTACAGGATTTCTTTAAGACAGTAACTGTAAGCTGTAAGTGTAGGTAGGTAGAGCAGGACTGATGGCCATTACATGTAAAGTACAATATTCTCACCAGATTGTCAAAAAAAAAAAAAAAAAAAAGAAGGAGGATTTGGACTGCTTCAGAGTTTGAAGGCCAATTCTGGGGCTGTCTGCATGTGAAGGTGAAAAATGTAATGATCCCACTGTCAACGTAAACTGCAGGTTGGAAGCTGTGGACAGGAGGGAATGTGTTTTTGCAGAAGATGCCTCTAAGGCCACTGTAGCTTCTGTTATCAGTCCTGAGCAAACCTCAAAGTTTTGCTGAAATAAGAGCTGCTCTTGGGATGACAGACAAGTCAGGTTCTGACCCAGGAAACCTTTTTCTTTGATACCCCACAGTGCATTTCCTGTTACACTAAGAAGCCAGGATAAGCTAAAGCAGGGGAAATTCAGGTCAGATGTAAGGAAAAAGATCTTTACTGTGAGGGTGCTGAGGCACTGGCACAAGTTGTCCAAAGAATGCCCCATCCCTGGCAGTGTTCAAGGCCAGTTTGGACAGAGCCTTGGGCAACATGGCCTAGTATGAAGCTAGATTTCCATTTTAGTTATTCTAAAATGCAAACAAAGCTCCCAACCTAACTCTGTGTGACTAAAATACAAATTGAAAGGCACCTTCTCTGCTACCCCGTATGAGCAGCAGCTGGCAGGAAAGGCAGATGCTAGTTTACAAAAATTCCTGTCTGGATTTTGGTCAGAAATTCTGTTTGACCAGTGCCAGCATCTGTAAAAACTGTCAGCATAAAATACATCAATCGGAAAGGAATCTACAGGAAAAAGAAGCAAATGAAGCAGCTGGAATTATTTTAGCATGGAAAACGTCTGAATTCAATCTAAAATGCAGACGCTGCTTCTCAGTTACACCCTTAGCCTCCATAAAACTGGCATTTCGAATGAAGACTATTCCAAAGGCCTCTGTGTCAAATTTGCTGAGGACAGTGCTTCCAAAGAGAGATGTTTGGGGCTGCCTGCTTTGGACTATCTGCAAGGTTCCTCTTTGGAGGTCATTCAGGGGAACAGAAGTTGCTATTGAGGATTACTCAAAACTAGAAAGCGTACACTAATTATTTATAACACCAATCCCACATGGGCAAAGAAAATGTGGCAACGCCACTTTCAGCAGCCTGAGCACTGATTTTCCTTTGCAGTAGTATTGCATTAAAACACTGGAGTTTCACCCCAGGTTAACAGTTCTCAACTCAGGCTTAACTTGCACTGTGCCTGCCCAGGGATCTAGCCTAGCCCCCACTGTTGAGTAAAGCAATTAACTAGTAATGAACCAAAATAACAAGAACTTTCTTTTATGAAACTTGACTATTCCCATCGAAAGACAGGATTTCCAGGGCGGGGGAAGATGTTTTCTAATGCAGTTGTCAGTTCCCAGTGCTTTCTGCTCTGCAAACAAGTGGGACATTTATTAGGGTCATTGCCTAATACCTCACTCTGCCACAGGGCAGCAGGCTTAAAACCTCACCATGTACATAGCAAAGGGTGAGCAAATGTTACTTGTGGAATGCACTCTGTCAGGAAGCTCATTTGGCTGAGCTGGATATGTATCACAGCTGGACTTTCTGGAAGAAAAAGTGCAACTCCTTGGCTAAAAAACCTTGTTGGTGAGTTCAAAGCACTATAAAAGCTGAGCAGAATTCCAGACATTTCCAGTGTGGCTCAGGAGGTGAGGCACGCATGGCAGCACCCTGCTGTGCCATGCAGCAGGCAGAAGAAGTACAGAAGAGGACCAAAACCACAGGTGAGAAGGGCTATAAACCAGCGAGAAGCAAATGAAAACCAACAGAACCAGCATTCATGTAAGCCTGTCCCCAGATCAGATTTGCTCTGGAACAGCTGGGAGATAGATTCCATGGATGGGTGAGGCGTGTAATTCCAGATGCAGTGGACATGCTGTGGACTTACTCTATGTGCACATAAATAGTCCACTTAACTTGGCTTGCTGCTTATGCACGGAACTGCCCTGGATGGTGTGTGCAGCCAGTCCAGCTGTGTCTCATGCACTGCTTTTCTGGCACGTGCAGTGAGTCTGAC